TGATGCTGGAAACTATATGCATATTTTCAGATGTACAAATATGTGAGCTCCCGAGGCAGCAGGAAAACTTGAAACTAAGGCAACCCTTTTATGTTTTCTAATATTTCCCTAAGTGGGAACAAATTAGTTGCCAAATATCTCTCTCTTTGGGTGATTTAGTGAAGTGCTTTGAAGACCAGGAAAATAAGCTTAACTTCTGATTTGCGATAGATCCCTGCCTGTGAGAAGGAAAACTAGAGCCAGAGATAGATGTGCGTCGAAGTAAGAAATAAGCACTGGCTGGTTCCTCCTCTGGTGTTTCTATGTTTGCTTTGCCGTGAGCACCCCTGTGTCATAACATGCGACATTGGTCCCTGACTTCTCCAAAGTAACTACGTGCAGCAAAGTCTCCTTTAATCTTTGTTAATCCTTTCTGATTTAAAGAGTGCTTTGGCTTCACATTTTAATCTAATGCCTTGTAATTATTGGCACCGATTACCCAGCCTTGAAATGTCTCTACTCTCATAATAATACTACATTGCATTGCGACCTTTGTGGCAGATTACACAAATAAAATAATTGAAAGCAGGTAATTTTATGTTTTTACCTTAAATTTTTTTCTTCACAGAGATGTAACTTAGTATATCTCCTCAATGCCAGTTCTGTTGATGGGATTTTGCCTTATGTCTCTGAGAGTGTGATTAAATTGCTTAGGCTAGGTTAAAAAAAAAAAAAAAAAGAGCGAGCAAGAAATTTCAGATATATCAGTCAATGTCATTAACAAGATTTCAGAAGTCTTTATATTTAACTCAATTTGAATTACATAAATTTTTAAAACCAAAGGTAATTAAGTTGTGGATTCCATTCTAGAATTTGCATCCACAGTTTTAAGGCAAAGGAAAAATTTAAAGTGTTGCTTGTTGGTGATTTTCATTCAAAAGACTAATACATACACGTTTTATACGTGTGTTTCTTATGTATATTTCCCTGTGCTTGCTCTTGATTCACTCATTCTTTTCTTAAGGCAATTCCTGATAGTTAATTTTAAGGAATGCATCAGATAAGTATTTGAATTAAAAGGTTATTTTTTTTGTCAATATTCTGGAGAAAGCTCAATATTATTATACAGCACATGAAATACTTGTCTATGTGGTTTATGTAGTTTATAATGTATGAACTGCATGAACTACAGTCATTTGAGTGACCTTTACACGTTTCACAAAAAAAAAAAGTCATAAAAATCATATAAGTCAAGGTAAAACATTTAACTCATTAACGTTTCTTACTGTGTTTTGATAACTCCCTTTGGGAACATATATGCAGATATGGCGATAGGAGTAAAGAAAGTGATTCTTAATACTAAGCAAGTATATAAATTTATCTGACTTGTCATATGACCCTTCAGGGAATAATACATTTTAAAAATTAGACATTTTAAATTTTCCCTAAAGGCAGAAATGCCCAGTGCTCCAGCTGTTGGACTTCAGAGTTGTTTTCTCTTTGCAATATAAACATGCTTAGCTCTCAGTTGCTGTCATCTGCATACTATTTAGATTATGCTATCTTTCTTGGCATAGGGTACAATTTGAGAAAGGGTAAATATCATATTGAGGGAAGGATTAAAAATTAGTGTGATAATTTCTTCATTATTCTAGGTTGGTCTGGTGGAAACAGTGAATCTTGGATTAACTTTGTTTTGATTTCTTCTGCCCAGAAAAACTGACTTCTGATACATCTAGTCTATGCAATCTTGGCTATCTTGACAACTCACCTGTCTTTTATTTCTATATCCTATATTTAATATATCTATACTGGCATTTATTCTCCTCAAGGTGCAGAAAGAATTTGGATTATCTACTTCTAAATCAAGAGCTGGAGGAAAATTTGCCACTTACTTTTTATTATACATTTAGCTTCTTTTTTATAAAATAAACTTTATTTTCTTAGAAAGTTACTCATTTTTGTATAATATTTGATTTCTTCCTTTAGGTGTAGTCTTCGCACATCTCCCACCACTACAACACCCACAAACTCTCACCATCCCTGTTCTCACCTCTCCTGTTGTGACCCCTCCTCCTCTGCCTCTCTTGCTGTATGTCCCAAATCTATAATCTGCCCACAGATTTTTTTTTTTAAGATTTATTTATTTGTTCATACAGAATTGGGGTACAGGCCAGAGGCTCAGGGGCAGTGAGAGGCTTCACCAGAGACAGAGTGGGGAACAGAACAGGCAGATCGATGAAGTACACTGCTGAGGGGAGCAGCGGGCCAGTCAGGAGAGGTCTGCCACACCATGTGGTCACCCCTGGGGCAGGCGGGAATTGAACTCATGCGGAAGTGGCTTTAGCTTCTCAATGCTGTGCTTTAACCTGCTGCGCCACCAGGGAGGGCCCTGTCTTTTTCTTTTTCACCCTTGGTTTGGTTTGCCCATATTTCCCCTGTACATGCTTAACTTCACGAGGGATTATAGAAGTACATATAGAAGGTACCATGGCAAAAATCTTCCCTATCCAACTCCTCCTCCCTTGAACTCCTCCCTGTGGGTATCCTCCCACCCCTTCTTTCCTCCTGCTTTCACTCAACTTTCTTCCTTCTTTTCCCTTCCATTTTCTTCATTTTGTATGTATATATTTTCCCTAGCTCATCACTCATTATCTGCCTCTTGGGTATACCTATCCATTCATTTATTTATTTAGGTTACTTCAGAAATAATCCCACTCTGTCATGAATTCTTATTCGACCCTGAGCATCTAAAGTTCACTTTGTGCTCACGGTTTCTGCTACATGTACACAAGTGTCCAATCAATTTTCTTCACTGTACTGTGAACTGCTGCTGTCAAAATTAGAGTCTAATTGCAAGTTGAACAGCTTATAATGTATCATAATCAATACTCAAAATTTGCTCCCCAGAATGTGACATAAAGGAGTCAAGTAAAAGCTGCAGATTTCAGCAGCAGAGTGCAAACAATCATTTTATGTTGATAGTTTCAAATTCAAGGTCGATTTATACTTTCATACATCTGCATTATTCTATCTCTTTAAATGTCTTCTTACATTCATATTGGATTCATTCAATGCTGAGGCTATTTAAATTGCTAAAAAGAAAGGCCAATCAATATTGCGATATAAAACTATGTTAGCATATTTCAATGAAAGTATATGGATTTTAAAATGAATATTAAAAAATCACAGCTATCAAAGCTACAAAAGCATTACCAACCGAAGTAGACACTAACTACTTTCTTCTGTCTTTTTTGAAGAAAACTGAGTGAAATGATACATATTATTTCTAATATCTGCTGACACAGATGTAGAAGTAATATTTACAATCCCTTTCAAAATAGGTAAGGGAAACAGATACCTGGCATTAAACATTTTTGATATCTTTTTGCTTTTATTTAGTCTTTGCTCTATTTTAAAGTCATACAGGAAGGTTCCCTAGAACATAGTATATGCCTAGTTTTTCCTGTTGCTGTCATGTCATAGGTATAGGTACATTGGGGTTTGTAGGTGGGTAGTTCAGTTTGAGGATGTATTTCAGCATTTTTCCTGATTAAATAATAACCTTAACATATTTCATTACTCATAGGTACATGCATTTTAAAAAACATGGTGAAATTAAAATAGAGGCAAGCTACCTAACTACTTTAACATTTCACAAGTGTGAATGACACATGCTATGAAATACCACAGTATTTTTATTATCAAGATGTTAAAAATTTTGCTTTCTTTCAAAAATATTTAATCTCACAGGAAATGATTTTATCCTAAAACCTTTTGAGGTAAAATAGGTTGTGGCTTATCGTTTTCTTTCTCAATAAATAATCATATATTTTAAAATTAAAATTTAGGTTTATATGTCTTTAAAAAGTAATTATAAATTTAGAAAGTTATTGAATTTTATGTTTTCTGTTTTAAATACCATCATGTGGATGTTTCCTCTTGCATAAGACACTGTAAATTTGTGGGGATCCTCTTGCACAATTTAAAGGCAATCCCAAGAGTTCTTACATGTGCAGGGAATTCTATTCCCTGCACACAGAGGAAATTGTAAATATCCTCTCCTGAAAAAAAAAAAATCCCAGACTTTGAAAGGATTGTTAAATATAAGGGGAACCACCATTTCTAGATGAGGGGTAAGTGGAACAATTAGTTCTAAGTTATACGGACATTGCAGCTGCTGTTGTCATGAAGGAATCTTCTACTTTCTTATTCAGCATCTTTGAAACAGGGATCGTTAAAAATGCTTTATTTATATGCTTTTTGTCAATTGATAAAAGGTAGACAAAAAATTCTCACAAAAACTTGTTATTATTTAAAAGAGGAAATCATGATTTGATCTGTTGGCCTACTTACACCAAAAACAAAAACTGAAGTGGAGAAAAGGGTTTATATGATCCATAAGCATATCTAATAAAATAGGAATGTGTACTTTTTGACAAGCTTATTCCTAACACACTGCAATCGAGAATTCTATTTGCTACTCTCAGTGGGAAGAGATTTCTAAAAGAAACCTTTCCTTACATGACTGCCACCAAAATAACAATTACAAGCAAAATAGGGATGAAACATGAGGGGGCAAAGCAGTGTAAGACTTATTATGGAAATTTGGAATCCAGTGTTTTTTTCTGTTATTTATTTGGAAAACAATAATCCTGGTAATCCATTTTGATGTTCACTGTTTCCAGGATGGGTTATAGAGAACAAAGACTAACTGATACCCTCAAGGGGTTAGTTTACAGTGGTGTTGTCGTCTACTGAGAATGATTCTCCAATGACCACTTTTTACTTCTTCCCAGGCTATGGGAATTCGTTAATATCTAGAGAATAGACTTAAATAAAACCATTGTCTCAACCAGCAGGTTTATGCAACCATCCTGAAATGTTTTAATTATTGTTTTCTTTTCTTTTTTAATTAAGAGACCAGAGGTCAAGCAAGCCCACTGAGAGCTGATCGCAGTCTCTAGAAATTTAAAGGCAACCCTAATGATTGGATTTGCTGTTTCTCTTTTGTTTTGCAGAACCGGAAGAGTGTGTTAATTGCACAGATGAATGCCGAGTGCTTGGTCATTCTGACAGGTGTTGGATGCCACAGTTCCCTGCAGCCAATCAGGCTGAAAATGCAGATTACCGCACAAATCTCTTTGTACCCACAGTTGAAGCTAATGTTGAGACTGAGACTTACGAAACTGTGAATCCCACTGGGAAAAAGACTTTTTGTACATTTGGAAAAGACAAGCGAGAGCACACTATTCTCATTGCCAATGTTAAACCTTATTTAAAAGCCAAACGTGCCCTGAGCCCTCTCCTCCAAGAGGTGCCCTCAGCATCAAGCAGCCCGACCAAGGCATGCATCGAGCCTTGCACCTCAACAAAAGGCTCTCTGGATGGGTGTGAAGCCAAACCAGGAGCCCTGGCTGAAGCAAGCAGCCAGTACTTGCCCACTGACAGTCAGTACCTGTCACCCAGTAAGCAACCAAGAGACCCTCCCTTCATGGCTTCAGATCAGATGGCAAGGGTCTTCGCGGATGTGCATTCAAGAGCCAGCCGGGATTCCGGTGAGATGGGAGCTGTTCTTGAGCAGCTTGACCACCCCAGCAGGGATCTGGGCAGAGAGTCTGTGGATGCAGAGGAAGTCGTGAGAGAAATTGACAAGCTTTTGCAGGACTGCCGGGGAAATGACCCTGTGGCTGTGAGAAAGTGAGGATAGAAAAAAGCATTGGCATTTTCTTGTCTCTTCTGTTGATTTAAAAACAATCCCTTCTGGTGACGACCCATTTTACAGGGATGAAGAAAGACCAATGCTGCTTTAAGGCTTTTAGTGAACATCTGAAGTGCCCACAAGTATGTTCTTTTCACTGCTGTTTCTTTTTCAGAGATAACAATGGTTTTGTTTTGATCAAACTTATACTAGGACAGAATTAATGATGTTCAAAGAGAAAAAAGAGAAGAAAAAAGGAGAAAAGATAAAGGAGGATGAGGAGGCAAGTTACCTTTTGACAATCTGATAGGAAGGTATGCAGCGTGAGAACTGAAGTATTTCTGATCACTTTAAGACTGTCCTCCGTGATTTATGCTGACTTAACTGTTTACCTATAAACCCCATTAAAGCAGGGTCATAATTTGTGATCTGTGGTGGATTTCTAGCAGTCATCACAGGCTTCTACTGAAAGTCCCCAAAAGACCTTGCAGTAGTCCAAGCTACACCAAACATTAACACATATTTGTGGTAAACATTTCTGTATAAAGTTACCTGCCACACATATAAACACAAAGAACATTCCATACCATTAGTCGAAAAAGATTTTTAAAACTTGGTCATCTGTAAGACACCTCATGTCGTATAAAAGTTAAATGTAAAAAGATATAGTCCATTTTGTCCTGCACACACACAGACTAATTCACTTCATTAAAAGAGAAGAAAATGTAAAGGTTTAAATGCCTTTTAGCATTTTAGTGTCCTGGAAACATACAGATAATGATGGGTAGATTTTAAATTTGACCTAGAAAAGTTCTGAAAAATAGTTACCATGAGTGATAATATTCAGAGAAAATTAATATGTTAATTCATTGTGGACACTAAAATAGCTCAGGAAAGTGAAACTGTCTTTGACATACACAAATCACATGACCGTTTAAATGTGCAAATGTAAGAAGATTCAATGTGTTTACATCAAATGACATATTTTTATTGATTTATTGCAGATTCAGTGCATATGAGCCAAATTGTTGAGTGTATAAGAGCTATATTGTGTATTTTATTAAATTAATATATAGTTGTGTTGCAAAAATATTTGGGCTTATATTGTAAATGGCAAGTGTTGCCTCGGTAGCTGTCGAACTCTATGAGTTTTGTTTTTTTCTGCTTCCTTTTCCCCATGGAGTGTGGGAAGCGGTGCCTCAGAGCAAAGTCTCTTGTTTAATGTATAGTCTACCAAGTACTACAGTACATAATCTGTTCAAAATGTGTTTGAGTGAGCTGATGGAGCTAACTGAAAGGTCAAAAAATACATCCATCAGTCATGGTTATGTGCAAGTCCTTGTAGAAGCTTTGATTAAAGTCATGCTAAATCACAAAAATTACATTTGTACCAATACCTGAAACTTCTTCATGTTTTTTTCAATAGCATACAGCCTCTTCCTATACCATGCCGTTGATTGGTTCTCAAAGTACTTTAAGTGGTTCAAGATGTGTGTTCCCATTATATTTCCAAACCATGAAAAATGCTTTAATGCATGTGAGGTACCAACACTGGTTACGTGCATTGTGTAGTGTTTTTCAAGAGGTCTGAGTCTTAACAAAATGTTTTTTTTTTTCTCAGTGCTCTTCTGCCTCTTTTTATTGGTGTCCTTTGAGAACAATATACCTACTATTCCTTCATTTAGTTGCACCTTTTCTTGTGATATTTAGCAAGCTTCCATATGAGGCTAGGAAACCTCACATTTCAGGAATTGGAAAAAAATAAAATTAGCACTTGCAGAAGTAGCAGCAGATGGGAAAATGCCTTGATTGACATTTTCCTTCAGCGTTTAAATTTTTTGGCATTTTACAGCTCCATGACAAACAGTTTCCAGCCCATACCTTAGAAAATGTGGTGCTGAGTTAAATAAAGGCTGTTTGTGCACTGGAGCAGAAAAATGCATTATTTGCAAACTGGTGGAGAATTCTGTGCCTTCTTTTCTGGCCACCAAGCCAGTGTAGAAACAGCATAAATGTCATAAAATCCTTATATTTAAAACAAAAACAAAGCAAAAACAAATACTGAACTGAATTAAGTTTTGTAATTTTAAACCTCACAAAATTCTACTGAAAGTATTTCCGTCAAATGCTGTCAACATTTTAGAGTGTACCTCGTTGGCAAAACCGCTTGAAAGGGAAGAGTGGACAATTCCCATCAGCCTTATTCTCTCAAGAACTGTTTTTGGTTCCTAGTAACAGCCTTTCCAAAGCTCTACTCTTGGTTTTTATTATTCGTAATGTTTAAATAAGAAAAGAAGGGATCTTGTACATGTGAAACCTAATTGACTCTATATTTTGGACAATTTATGTATCTGAAATGTGTTGTCTCTGTTATATGATGTTATTATTTTTCTTTTCGCCAGGAGACTACAGGTTGATTGAGCTTGATAGCTGAAATTTGATGGAAACCTGATGTTCATTTAGTCTTACCACATGTTGCCTCTCTCTTACTAGACAGATAGCCACTTAGCAAAATCCATGATAGTATGTAAATGAAATCAACAAAGAGAGTAGGGCTTATTTTTAAATCATTCTTAACATTGAGTAACCAGTTGTTCAATTTATTATTATGTGTCTGAAGACATTAAAACACGATAAGATTTTAAGAATTGGTTGTGCCAATGTGTGAGGGATTTACCTTTAGGCTCTCTGTCACCAGTGATTTACTAGTGTTAGCTGTTTAACACATTATCTGTAGTCAGTAGTGATTATTTATTTACAAGTTGGTGATAATTCAACAGTCAAGACTCTAAGCTTTTATAGTTAAGTGGAGGGAACTTTGCTTTTATTCATTTGGCTGGTAACTGCCTTTATCACAGACCTCTGGTGCTTGGCTTCCAAGGAAGTCTATATGAGATGCCAAAATCATCCTTTTGGGGAGCAACTTGCTTGAAAGGGTGATGATCAAACAGTTATATTTTAAGGGGTTTCAGCATATCTCAGAATGTGAACAATTGTCTTAATTCATATCCTCCCAATATTAACCCCTCAGAAAAATCCCACACCTTTAAAATGAATAATTTGATAATGTTTTGTCTTTTAGGTCCTTAGGTAACTGAAGTCAAGCACAGAAAAAAGAATTTATAGAAATTTTAATAAGAAAGTCAAAGTTTTAAGAAAGTCACTGATGAACTAAACATAATCAGTAACAAGTTTTTTATTAAATGTTGATGATGAAAGATCTTTTCATTAAAGTTTAAAGTAGTGGGAAACAGTGTTAGTCGTACTTATACCAAAGTAAACATTAAAGGGACATATCATGTGGTTTCAAAGAACACGCTCATATTATTTCTTAACCTGACATACTTATCCTTATTGCAGGCAATATAAAAAGATTGGCACACTACTCTGTAAATCAATTACATTCCTGGTTAGGAAATTGACTTATGTTGCTTCCTAAATTATCAGAAATCTTGTAAAACATGACTTCCCTTGAAAGGATCCAGGCACTGCTCAATTTAAAAAATGACGCCATACAAAGTCTTATAGTAATATGGCAGTATGCTTTTTTAGAACCAGGTCCAAAGCTGTTTGTTGCCTAATGGGGTAAAAGTTGCTGAGGTCAACATGTAGACTGAGGTCTAGCCTAAATATATGCCCGTTCATTATTGTCTAATTATATTCGTTTGACAACAGACAGCATTTATCAGAGCATTAATTCAAATGAGAGTTTTGGCTATCGAGATGTGTTGATATGAAACATAACTGAATGAGACCTGATTAAAGTCTGACTTTCCTGGCCCCAGTGTTTTGCAGGTTGGCTATTCCCATTTATCAGCCCATCATTCCATATAGTTCTTAGCTGCACCAAATGATTGGTGAACAAGGACAACAACAAAAAGCAGCATACATTGTATGGATTTATCTCAACGCTATTGTTTAATGGCTGTGTTTAATGTGACCTATCTGGAAAATGAGGACTCCGAATAAAAAGCTATTACTAATAGTGGTATTGCCTTCCCTGGAATTCATTAATACATGAGTGAAGGGTTGTACGCTGCATTCATCAGGACCCTGAACATTCCTATTTTAAAAAGCAATCACAATTGCTTTCCTAGTTATTTGTTTGCCAATAAAATAGGATTAAAATTATTTAATAATAATTTCACTAGAATTTCAGTGGGAATGGGCTAACAATCTTTCCGATATCTTAGACAAGATGAATAGTCAAAAAATTACCATAGAGTCATACATAGCATGAATATTTGCAGCTTTAAATAGTCACAATTGGTTTGAACATAATGTTGGACAAACATCCTAAAGGATTTCAGGAAAGTCGTTTTCATAAGCTCTCTCATAATCTAGTGAAACTTGTATTTATAAAATGGCATTTTAAGGCAAATGCATGTTTATCGTGGCATCTTAAAGTAGGCTTCTCTTTGTACTCACTCAACAAACATCAGTGGAATCCCCACTGTATGTTTGTTCTGGGCTATTTATACCCCAGGGGTAAACAGTAAACAAGAATGTGGCTTAGTCTGGTGGGGGAAACAAATAGATTAACTCCAGTACACATTACCCTTTATAAAATGGTTACTTGGGATTTTTTCTGTTTTACTCTATGCAGCGGTTTTGCTGTTACTCTACACAGTGTAGCATCTCCTAAATTGCAGACTAGCCAGCTTAACACATTTATTTTTTTTCATTTAAATATTTCTTTTAATTTTACTTTTCTTTTGGCAGCATTGCATATACTAAGAAGAATGCTTTGTTTTTTTTTTCAATTTAAAATCTTTATGATTTTGACTTATAGGGTAAACTAAATGACACATCTATCTATGCATTCTTTTGTTCATCATTTGCTGACTCCATTTTTTTTTAATTTTTTTTTTTTTTCATTGAATACAGTTGAGGTGTCAGGGGCAAGACACAGTCCTGAGGGGCAAGAATTAAACCATTGCAGCCTGCCATCTGAGTATATCACTGATGTGTCCAGGTGATATACATGAACATAGGACTTGGTTTCATTTTGCCTTAACACTGTTTATTACCTTTTCACAATGCAAACAATCTCAATTTTAAGAAGAACAAAAGCCGTATGCCTACCAATCACCCACTTCTTTCAAGTGTGAGGATAGTGTTAATTGAGTCGCATGGAATATGACCAATAGGGAGGGAATGCTGAGTGATTCAAAAGAAGAACCCTACCTGGCCATGCCACAATTAGAAGGAAGCTATGAGGGAATGTATGTTACAAACTTATTTTAAGTTAGTAAACCACTGAAGCCCTTGGGTTTGTTGTTTTAGGTAGGTATGGCAACAAGATACAACTATTTGGCATTACAACAGAATGATTTTTTGTAGAATATAAAGAGAATAAATTCACAAACATTATTACAGTATCAATACAGCCTATAGAAGCAGATCAGCAAGATCATGGACCACCTTCGAACTCTGTCATATGCTTTTGAAGATGGCTGCTATGGTTCACCAAGAAAATATTTTTTGTTCATTTCGCATGCTAGTAATACTGGACAAGCAGATGTACACTAGGGGATTGGGCCTTAGTATTCTTAAATGAGGGTGCAACTTCTTTTGTTGTTATTTTATTCTAAGATTTCAGAAATATATAAAAAATTAGTTTTTCTAAGTTAACATAATTTCGTTACTTGAAATGACAACAAATATCTTATGTGTAATGATTAAGTTTTATATATACTAAATTAATAGGATTACTCTTTAGAAATACTTCTACAAACTATAGTAACATAAAAATATATTTAATAATGTTACATAAACACATATGTATTTATATGCACATACAAACCTGGAAATCAAATAACTTCTAAAATCATTATTTAAAAATGTAGATCATACAGTGGGAAATATTATATCATTGGCTTCTTCAAGGATTAGATGAAAAGGACAGATAATTATGATTAGACATTTTTATGTTTGAGAAATCTAAAGTCAAATAGGTAGGATCTGCAAAATATAACAGCATTTCCTCGGTAGCAATATTAAATCATTTTTGATAACATATTCCTTTACTATCACAGTTGAAAGACTGTATTTCCAATATAATAATGTGCTCTGAGATAAGATTTTTGAACTTTTATCTTACCTTCTTCCTTTTAAATTAGATTTTTTCTACATCTGTTTATAGTATTAATTATATATTCCTTAGAATTTATTATGCCACATATGAGTATTCATATGTGAATTATTTATATTTTCTTTTTCATCTTCATTAATTTAATAATTTTCTCTCAGTATCAACTATTATTAAAATTTACTTATTTTCCACTAAGATAGCCCCCATATGTATTCATGCTTATGAGTCAGTTGTAGAAGTAGTATGGAAACAGAAATTGAACAGAAAATGTCCTAACTACTTTATTAACTTAGAAGAAAATTAACAAAATTTGTTTTTGTTTAGAAGATCTGGGGTATAGGACAGAGGTACAAGGTGGGGGAAAGGTGAGAGGCTGAGGGGATTCACCAGAGACAGAGTGGGGAGCAGAACAGATGGATTTACTGTGGTACACTGCTGAGGGGAGCAATGGGTGACACAGGAGAGGTCTGCTGCGCCATATGTGAATTAGCTCCCTGGTCAGGACTTGAACTCAGGCCACAGGGGTGATAGTGCTGAGACTTTAACCAATATTTTTTAGATATAATAGAAGTGGAGCATTCAAGTTGACAAAATGATAATAAAATGTAACAAATATATGCAAAGTGATAAATAGGTTAGGATGTAGTTAAAAATCTTTGTTTTTTAAAGATCTCTAAGATTCCATCATGTGGAATTGTTAGTTTTGATAGATGATAAGAAAACACACTTACCTATGAGATTATGTGCTTAGGATTTCTCAATATGTATTCTCAAAACACCTATAAAATTCTATTATATATGCTTCATTATTTCTTTCATTTGCATAACTACTAACACTTAGTCTTGTTCATAATCCACAGGAGGAAGGGACTTCTCTGGTGACTTTCCTTTCCTACAGTGTGACATCCCAATTCGATTCAACTTAAATTTATGGAGCATATATTGTGTTTTTTTTTTTTTTTTTTTTTTAAAGATTTATTTATTCATACAGAACTGGGGTACAGGCCAGAGATGCGGAGGGTGAGAGGATTCACCAGAGACAGAGTGGGGTGCAGAACAGGCAGATTGACGAAGTACACTGCTGAGGGGAGCAGCGGGGGGTCAGGAGAGGTCTGCCACGCCATGTGGTCTCCTCCAGGGGCAGGCGGGAATCGAACTCATGCGGAAGTGGCTTAAGCTTCTTTGTGCTGTGCTTTAACCCGCTGCGCCACCAGGGAGGGCCATATATTGTGTTTTTGAACACAATGGCACATACAGATATTAACAAAGTGCAGTTTGTGTCTCTATAGAAATTATAATATGCTGGGAAATTAACTTATTTACACAAATACAGTTTGTATTTGGTGCTATGAGAGAAGTGCAAGTGGAAGTGTGGGGTAGGGAGAGAGAAAGAGAACTTTTAGCTAAGGAAAAGAGAGGT